TTTAAATATATGTATGCATACTTGTTGTTATGTCTGTCAGGATCGAACCTAATCTATATCAGTCATGCATGCATAATTTTTTGGGATTGTAGTGAATATATATCCATGGTTGCCTCATGATACAAAGCCCGCTGTTGATTTTTCTTACTCGCAATTGAACAGGAGTTTTTGCTCGCAAGAGAACAAAGAGTTACAAATGGTATTTTGTAGCATAATGCTGAGGTGAATGAACTTATGTACATATACAAAACGGAAAACTTGGATAAGTTTCTTCCAATATTCTGTACTCTAAAAGCAACGATGGGCCGCACGCAGAAATGGTCACATTTGGATTCATTAATCGTGCTCGCTGACAATTGAGGCTCTGCAGTCTGCGTATGCGCACCTTGTATCGCCACCTTCCCCCGTCCTAGTTTCTCATTACCATTTTTATTCTGTACCAGTCGCGTTTGCTAAGAGTGACACCGCGAATTCGTTCATGGACTGGCTTGCGGGTGTCCCGCCAGAGATCAGCTGTCTCGTAGTACTGTTGGGATTCTTCTTGGTATCCCTGCCTTTCTCATGGGGTTACATCGTGTTGAATATCGGGTCTGGCTACCTGTTTGGCATGAGGCTGGGCTTGGCTCTGGGTAAGTATGGCAGGCCGATGGTTGTTATCTTGCCAACTATGTACACGCGATTTTTCAAGTTGGCGCATTTCCACGCGTTTCTTCAAATTTGTCAGACTCAAAGCTTACGCGTATCAGGGTCTGATATTATGTAATCGTCACCTGTACAAGTCTTGAGCTGCTCTATATAATAATCGATGCCAGTATTGAAATCATTATTCTGTGTCTGCATTTTTTCGCTCCCCAGCATGGAAAGCTTTCAAATCACCTATCAATCTGTTTATGCGCGTGTTTTCACGGATCAAAATTACATCACAAATCTCGTAATCTACCCCTGCGCTTAGAGTTTGGTATCCAAATTAACTTACACAAGTTGAAATTGATCGCCGTGCACAGTAAGAGATAAGATATCGACGTCATCTAACAGACAAGCGATCCCTGCGCCTTTTCAGGGTTGTATTTATATCATATAACACCCCTCACAATCATCTCTGACAATCTATCTTTGTGCTATGCAAGGGCTTAGATATTCACATCATCCAACGCACCTTACAGTAATCTCTCTAACCATGAAATCTGCGCTTTTTCCCCAGTGGTGGTGGGGGCGTCGCTGGGCGCGTGCCTGTCCACTATTATGTGCCATTACATGTGCAGGAAGTGGATCGAAAATCAGGTACGAGAGTTTATTTTTCGGTTTGATCGAAGCCAGCGGCAGCAATAGTTTCGATGCTAGTTTTAAGTTCTGTGTGAACGCCAACTGTCAGTGGTGTGGCATGGTCAGAGTGACGGTACAGTTTCAGACCGGCCGATGTTCAACCTCTCGTAGTTGCAGGTGTAAGTGTTTGTACCAACCAGTACCTTTTGTAATTCCTGCCTGTCATATACGGAACAGGCAATTCATCTGAAATGTGACCAGATAATATGACAGTATAGACCTTACTTCGTGTGTGAATAAGGGTTTGGCACTCGCTTATTCCCTCTTATCCTATTCTCGTATTCCTTGTAGTTCCGCACTGGTTACTAATCCAGGGGTTACGGGGTCCTTCATGTGCTTGACACGTTGTTCGTGCTTCTTATGAATTGTTCGTTCTGCTGATATCTCCGCAGGTGGATCAGAACGGGACGCTGAAAGCGGTGAAGACGGTGATGCAGGGCCACCACGCGTACAATCTAGTGCTTCTGACTCGGCTCACACCCATACCCTTTGGCCTGCAAAACGCACTCTTTTCTGTAGGTAGACCATACTTGTTTGGAAGTCGACTGGGTCTCTCATATCGCCTGATTTCTCAGAATTTTGCATATTCGCGGCTAAAGCTCGGTTCTCTGTCTGTGCAGTATGGTTGAAATAGGATCGAATTCAGCGATGTACCTAGTACAAGTGGCCTGGACACGCGAGTAACGGAGTGCATCCCCTGTCAAAGCGAACACGCCTTATCATACACAAGAACCATGCGTGCGAAGCACAGTGGCTGATTCCTCAAAGCGCTGCAGATCTTATACAGTCACGTCGTAGTGCTTATCGAGCCTTACCCAGGGCAGTCACCACTGTCTAAGTAGAACGTGTCGACAGCACCCGGGTGTTACTTCAAGGACACATATCGTGCTACTTTACACTCAAGTCGTTGTTTGGCATCCATTCGTCCCACAGCTTGTTCCTCTTGATCACGGACGGTATGTAGCGTACACGGCTCTGGGACTGTTCCCAACTCAAGCGATGAACACATATATAGGAACGCAGCTCAATGACATCCAGGTACGTGTTCATTTAAAAAAACTATTCACAAGCGGATGTGTTGGTGTTCGAATACGAGTTTTAACATGCTGTTCATATGCATCGTTTGCAATTTAATTTGTTTTTAGATCATATTTATTCGCATATATGGATGTTTAGTCTTCAAAACTCGTGAATGTGTTTCTGCTGCAGAGTGGTCTTAGAACGACAAGCATGTGGCATTGCCAATGACTGACGTTGTGCGAAAGGGGGATGCAGGTGCCATTGAACGAATATGCACGCTTCGAATATGCCGAGTGCATCTAGGTTACTACAAACAAGGGTGCACATTGTCATATATATATATATATTTATATATACACACACACACAC